TTTTTTTTTTTTAAATATGAGGACTTCAAAAACAAAAATTGGATTTTTCCATGACCTTTTTGAAGTCCCCTCATATATTAGGAACATTCAATAAAATGTGTTATGCTAAATGGTGATACATGAAACTATTTAAAAAGTTAATCTTTTCACTTACTAGTAACTGGAACTCTAAATAATTTCATATTTTAAGTAGGAATATTTTAGCTACGTGATATACTTTTTAAACCATGATTAATATTATAACAATCATAGTAAAATATTTATTGAACTCCTACTACTATGCTACTTCATTGAGATATGAGTAAGACACAATTTTCATCTGGAAAAGCTTCTAGATCTAGGAGTTTTATAATTTACATATCAATAATCAAGCACTATGAAATAAGCTTTGCAAATTATAGTATTCAAAAGATTCTAAAATCCAAAACATATAGTACTTAAAGTATGTGTCCAAGGTTATTCAGAGCAAATGAGGCAATCAAATTTAAGCCAATGGACAAGAAGGCTGACAGGTATTACAAATTAGCTTGGGTAAAAGGGAGAACAGAGACTCATAAGAGGGAGAAGAGAAATAATCAGGGGTGGAGAGGAATATAAAATAGGGTCAGTATAATACAGGTTGGTATAATACAGGGGTTGATGATAGTCTGAAATGTTAACCTAATTCTCACCAAATTCATAATAAAAAATTCCTACCTTAAAAAAAACAAAAAGCCTTGAAGCTAAGTCTTGTATCATGAATAATGTGGTAAACAAAAGAAATCTAAACCCTAATTCAAAAGCCAAATATAGTTTGCTATTAACACCAAATCAATTGCCACTAATTAAGTCAATTCAGACTAATTGCTACCCTATATAGGGTGTCCAAAACTGTACATTTTTACAGGAGCAGGATAGCCTCAGTTTTCTCCCACAGAGCAGCTGGTGGGTTTGAACTGCTGTCCTTGAAGTTAGCAGTCCAATGCTTACCCACCTGGACAACCAAGGGCTCTCAAATTAATATAAAGAGATGCATTAATAGTCCAATAATACTAACTTCAATTCCACACCAAAATCAAGATACTTAAAATTTTATGATATTTGTGTCACAGATGGGCCCACATGTTACTCTTTTCACTCCCATCTACCCACTCCCCTTCCCCATCCTATGAGTTATATTTTGGGCAGTCAGAATATAACTTATCTACTCTCTGCCTTCTTAAAATGGTGGTTGAATCTTTGGATAAAGGCATAATTAGCCTCCCAATATTGGCATCAACTTTTAATTCCTCTCTATAGATCTTCACTTCTGGCCATAAACCAGAAACCAGAACTCACTATCCTAACATAATATGTACAATTATACAAATGAAGAAAAAACTGTTCATGTGTCTTCTACCTCCATAGTTTAAACTGGAGTATTCAAAAAGGTTACTATCAATATAAATTTCTTTGTTTCTTTGATAGAGCTTACCTCGTTGTTTTTCCTTTTTGTACTTTAACATTTCCTTATTTGTATATCCGGTAGTTCTTAAAATATCTTCCAAAAACATTTCTTTTACTTCAAATGGTCTTCCTTGTACTAAACAATAGGAAAAATATTTTAAGTCAATTGGAATTGATTTCATATAAAAACCTGAGGCCCAAATGCAAAATCTTAAAGCAATTTCACAGTTCAAGTAATCCTCATAGCACTGTCCTATAACTTTGATGTTCAATTTATACAAGTGTTCATTTTCTTGGGGGTTTTTTTCCTGGGTCTGTCTACTATCTAAGTATCCTGTTTACCCTAATTCTAGACACTAAGCATACAAACAGATACAGATACTTACTGCTGCCCTCCTGAAGCTAAGAATGATAACTGCACAACTCTTCTTAATATAAGTGACTATTGAATTGAAGGATATGTGGATGAAGCGCCAATAAAAATTTTTAAACAGAAAACTAAAGTGTGGAAATATGAAAAGATGACTAATGAAGCATTATCTCAGAAGAAACAAAAATGGTTAACTTCTACTCAAAATTATTCCCTAATTTGTATTAGAATAAACATAATAAAAATTTATCTTTTCATAAACATTATACAAGTAATCTGATGATTTTAACTTACTATGTATCACTGGACAACTTCCAAAATATCTTATAAAGAGATTTACATCCAATGCAGCACTAGAAAGAATTAATTTCAAAGTTGGGTGCTTTTGTAACAAATCCCTCAGCTTTGTAAGTAAAAAATCACTAAATCGATCCCTTTCATGTACTTCATCCTACAATAAATAAAATTAAAACCATGTAATAGTTAAATCATTATGAATGACAGTCTTTAAAATAATGAAAATGCTGGATTTTATACTCATTTGTACGTAGTCAATAAATATTAACTAAAATCCTATATTATAGTCAATTCAGAAATAACTAGACATTAACAAACTACTATGAAAATAAAAGGAACTGTGGCATAAGTATTAACCACAGTGTTGGTGATTCAAACCCACTATCTATTTCTCATCAAGGAAGATGAGACTGTCTGCCCCCACAAAGGTTTTCAGTCTTGGATACCTTATAGATAGTTTATGAGTCAGAAAAAAGAGCTCTGGTGGCCTAATGGGTTATACATTGGCTACTAACCACAACGTCAATAGTTCAAAACCATCAGCCAGCCACTACCCAAGAAAAAGATGAGGCTTTCCACTCATGTAAAGACTTACAGTCCCCCAAATCCATAAGGGCAGTTCTACTTTATAGGGTCACTAAGAGTCAAAATTGACTTGATGGCAATAAGTATGGTTTTGAGTCATAATTAACAAATTCATAGTAACAGGGATTTTACTGATAACAAAGTACTACCTATTATACTATTTTCCACAGACTAAAAAGCCACAGAAACTATAGCACATTCTATATTGTTGTTTTTGTTAGATGCCAACAAGTCCGTTCTGATCCATAGTGACTGTATACACAAGAAAGCAAAACTCTGCAAGGGCCTGTGCCATCTTCACAAGCTTCCCTATGCCTGAGCCCATCGATGTAGCCACTGTGTCAATCCATCTCACTGAGTCTTTGGGGGTTTTTTGCTGCCCCTGCACTTTACCAAGTGTGACATTCTTACTGGTCTCTCCTGGCAATACGTCTAAAGTATGTAAGATGAAGTCTTGCCATCTTTGCCTATAAGAAGCATTCTGGTCTTCTTCCAACACAGATCTGTTCATCATTTTAGTAGTCCACGGTATTTTCAATTTTCTTCTCCAGCACAATTCAGATGTATCATTTATTCTTCAGTCATCCTTATTCAATGTCCAACTTTCACATGCATATGAGGCAATGGAGAAGACAGTGGTTTGGGTCAGGTACACCTTAGTCTTCAAAGTAACATCCTTACTCTTCAATACTCTAAAGAGGTCTTATGCAGCAGATTTACCTAATGCAATACATCTTTTGATCTTTTGAATGCTGTTTCCACAAGCACTCATTGTGGAACCAAACAATACAAAATCCTTGACAACTTCACCCTTTTCTCCTGATTTATCATGATGTTATCTAATGGTCCAGTTGTGAGGATTTGGGTCTTCTTTACATTGAGTTGTAATCCGTACTGAAGGCTAAAATCCTTGCTCTTCATCCACAAGTGCTTCAATTCCTCCTCACTTTCAACAAGCAACATTGTGTCATCTACATATCTCAGATTGTTAGCAAGCCTTCCTTCAAGTCTGATGCCACATTCTTATTCATATAATCCAGAGTCTCTGATTTATCTGCTCAGCATAAAGATTAATTAAGTATGGCGAGAGGATACAACCCTGATGCACACTTTTAGTGGTTTTAAACCATGTAGTATTCCCTTGTCTATTCCCACAACTGCCTCTTGTTCCATATACAAGTTCCTCCCAAGCACAATTCCTAGACTGGAATTCCTAGTCTTCTCAAGGGTACCCACAGTTATTATGTTCCACAGTCAAACGCCTTAGCACAGTCAATGAAACACAAGTAAACATCCTTCTAGTATTCTCTGCTTTAAACCAGGATTCATTTGACATCAGCAATGATACTTTGTTCCACATCCTCTTCTGAATCCAGCCTGAACCTCTGGAAGTTTCATATCAATGTACTACTGCAACCATTGTTGGATGATCTTAAGCAAAATTTTATTTGCATGTGATATCAATGATATTGTTCTATAGTTTTTAGCATTGTGTTGGGTCATCTTTCTTTGGAATGGACAGAAATATGGGTCTCTTCCAGTTGCTGGGCCAAGTAGCTGCCCTCCAAATTTCTTGGCATAGATGATTGAGTGCTTCCAGTGCTTTTTCAGCTTGCTGAAACCTTTTTGACTGGTATTCCGTCAATTCCTAGAACCTTGTTTTTGGCTAATGCATTCAGTGCATTATGTTAATCTAGAAGCAGTTTAACCATGGAGTTCAATAGCATATGGTTTATAAACCTAATACTAGAATACAAAATACTAACAGGGAATCAGATGACTAAGTAAAGAGCATTCTTAGTGCATTAATCATTTTGACATGTAAAATGAACATTTCTTAAAAACTACTTATTTATTTTATATCCCCTCATAAACCTAGTGCAAATATCTTTAGTTAATGTAAAATATTTATTTGCACTATTGTGGACAATAACAAAAAAAAACTTAATTATAATATCCTGCTCAAAAGAATAAATTAGTTCTCATGTATACCTGATTTTCAAAATGTTAATTATTTGTTTTAATCACACCTATAAGCAAGCAATCTTAAGTTAAACATGGAAAATTCACTAATACTCTTACCACAATAACATGTGTCACAGTTGACAACGTACTATCTCCTGCCATTAAAGTTCGAAGCAATACTCCATTAGTGCAAAATGTCAAAAGTGTCTTTGGAGAAACCCTTTGGAAAAATAGAAATAAAGTGCAAAACTGTAAATCTCTTACGTAATTAAAATAAACCTCCAAAATAACCAAACTCACTGCCATTGAGTCAATGCTGACTCATAGAACCCCCTGTGGGTTTCCAAAACTGTAACTGTTACAGGAGTAGAAAGCCCAGGCTTTCTCTCAAGCAGCTGCTGGTGGTTTCAAACTGCCGACCATATAAATCACAGCCCAACACTATACCACTAAGGCTCCGTATATAATTAAAATAGGATCACATTAAATGCTGATCATAGATACTTGAATTATAACTGGTATAATAAATGTACTGATATATGAAAGGGCTTCAAAACGGAAAATGGAAATTCTTTAAAACTGGAATTTTCACACAAACTTTTTGAAGTCCCCTCCCCCTTATATAGTTTATTAGCATATATGTTGTTATTAACATATAGTTATTAGCATGTGTAAAATGCTATTTTATAAGTGACAAATTCATACATCTAAGAAAGTAAAACTTGCATTATCTGATGTCTATGGAAGTCAATAACATTTATTGAGTGCTTATGATATAAATTTCACAAAATGAACCTAAAAGATAATAGACTTAGCCTTCTCATATTAAAAAAATTTTGTTTTACTTGACAAAAATATGTTCAAAGAGGCTAAGTAACTTACAATACAGTGAAACTATGAAATGGGATTTGTATTTATGGCCCAAGTTTGTAACTGTTCCATGAATATTCAAATGCTGAAGTATCTGTGTTCATCAGTTCTCTAGTTTTACAAATTAAATGACTAATGAATCAGATGTCATTTTAGAACTCAATATAAAATATAGTCCCTTAAATGTTAGTACTTTCTTAAACCCTATCAATGTAGAAGAGTTCTTTAAAAAGAAGAAAAACAGTAAGCGAATTTCCTTTGTGCTTTGACTATCATACTTTCAAATAATATTTATTAAGAAAAACTCATTGGGTTTAGACAAACCCTCTATATCTTGACACTTGGGGCAAAACAATTATCTAACATTTTAATTAGCAGTCTATATTTTTAAATGTGAACTGTAATCTTTGTTTCTAGGTGTGATAAAAGGAGTAACAAAAGGAATATCTTTACCTGCTTTCTAATCGAATCTGATACCCAATAGTCTGACCAATTCTTTCTCTTCTCTCTGCAGCAACTCTTTCAGCCACAGCAATTGCTGCCAATCTCCTTGGCTGAGTACAAAATATGCGGCAAGGTATACCATTTTTGAAGCAATCATCTAAAAGAAATTGAGGAATCTGAAACCAAAGTTTAAAGTATTATAAGATATGATTGTACACCAGAAAACCCAAGGGAATCCACTGAAAAGCTATTCAAGTTTACAAAGTTCCATAACATGGCAAAATATAACATAGTCCTAAAGAAATCAACAACTTTCATGCAACTGTTAATAATAATCTAGGAATTGTAATTTAAAAAATCTTGTTAACAAAAGAAATGTGAACAAAAACACTAAAACAAATTTATCAAGCAATAGTTAAGGCTTATAAGAAAAAGATGATATAAGAGAAATGCAAATTAAAACTATGAGATACCACCTAACACCCCTGAGGCTAGCCCAAATCAGTAAATCAGAGAGCAACA